CAACTCTCGTGTCCGAACCCAGCTGGGATACCGCGCTAGTGCAGTGATTCAACTGAAATTACTACGCACGGTTCGAGCTGAGCTCACTTCGAATATGACTCAACACTTGACTCAATATCAGTTTATATCGATTCTAAAGTGTGAGCTTACGACATTTTTCGGAACTACACACGCCCTTATCTGGTCCGACTCTAAAACCGAACCGCTTCACAGCTCATCTCACTGAACCGTACTGGAGTACAGTTCTTCTGACTGATGGCAGTGCAGTGTCAGCTGCAGAAAAAATCCCTCGTGTCAGAGCACAGCAAACAAAACCTGGACTTCTGTGCGGCACGAGGGATGACAGCGATTTACAGCGAATCGACAGAGCGGATGTGCCACGCCGCAGGCTGAATGGCTGAACTTGCAATATGTGACGCGTACGGCCAATCAAACGTTTGTTGGTAAGGACTGAATCACCGAGGCCAAATCACCCAGGTGGCGCCCTGGATGTCTGCAATGTAACTATCACAACAAGTCAGGTTGAGCACAATTTGAAGTTCCCCTCCTGCCTGATTCAGTCAACCATCCGGTAACATGGCGTGTCTGTTTCTGTGTATCCAAAAAATTCTGAGGGTCTTCCTGGGTGCAGCGTGTTTCTATTACAAGTGCGATATGGATAATGCTGAGAGGTTGGTTAAAACTCACTGAATTAACCTATTACAGCTGACGAAAAGAGGATTCTACAATCCATCTAGGATTGTACGATGATCCCGCTTGAGATTCAAGTGCAGTGTAAACTACATACCCATTTTCCAGTCTATTTCCAAAGAAGGAAACTGAAAATGTTTAATCCATGTAGGCTTCTGTTTAATCTACTGAATGCAAGAATTTGAAGTTTGTCGTTGTCCTAGCCGCGCCACAGCTTGAAGCTTCTCCGGCAGTTCTTGGACCCTGCCCTGAGGTTGCAAGTTGAAATAATCGTACGACGCGACGATTCTCAAAAATTTATCAGTCCTCTCGACTATCCTCGCACCGCGCTACCCAATTTTTGAGATTTCTAAATCCCATTGACTTTTACAAACGATTTTGCGATAATGGTATAAACACTCTCAACAAAGTTTGTGTCGAATTTGTTGGACGAAACATTCTTTAGACAAACACGGTTTACCCTGAATATGCAATAACTGTTAAACCATTTGTTTTTAATGGTAGAAGGTTATTCAAGAATTTATATGAATGAAATGTGACATATTTAAGTCCAGTTTGTTTCAATAATATTGGGAAACGAAAAGAAACTGAACTCAATATAATACTACTTGAAATTTATAGTCCACACTGTACTGTTTTGTAGTATGCAAGATTCCAGTTGTCTCATTAGGGCTGGTCCTAGTGTATTCTATAATTTTCTCTAAAATTTTGTACTTTGCTAATTATTCTAGCCCTGAAGTATCTACGCGTCACGTCATTACGGCCACTGTGTATCATTAATGCAACTGTGGAAAATGACAACTCTTACTAAGGGGTTGCAGTTATTGCATCAGGATAGCGTTAGATTTTTCTCACCCAAAGCAAGAAATCAAAAGGATCAGAAACTGTTATATCACATATTCTCTGACTAACCATACCGGTATTTCGGGTGTAGAGAAAGCTGCGCTCCATGGGACTGAGAAATATGAACAAGAGGCGACAAGGTCGTCCTAGGGTTGCGAAGCTTGTTGCGTAACTAACATTATACGGATCTAACAGCTAGTATGGATCTCCTTTCTAATGATTGCTCTACTTTTTATACCGAGTACATGTTTCTTGTTGATAGTAGCAAAACTGACCACGCGAGGATCGACACCAGGACCTGTCGAAAATATACGATCTCCTACCGACTACGCCATCACAGATGTCTCAACGTCGACACGAAAAATATTTATTAAATAACAACGCGACGAAATGCTTCCTTCCATTAGGGTTTGTGTTCTTTTTTTCTCTCGCTGGTCACGCTGAGCACCCCACGTACCAGAGGAAGGTGAGAAGCATAAGTGCCTAAGCTCCCCCCTAACTACTCCCCATGCTCAACTGCAACGAAGTTAGATGAGTCTTAGATAGACAAGCGTAGTAATCTAATACCTAACTGTGTAAAAATATGACTTATTAGCTAGACTATGATGTTTAAGCTTAGGGCCCTTTGTAAAGACTTCGTAACTTTCTTGTATTTTTTTGGTTTCGTTTCTTCGTGCATAATCTGCCATCCGTTTCCTCTATCCACCGTCCTTACTTTTCCTTTTCGTCGGTTGCGTTTTTACCACCTCGTATTTTCATGTTTTCATTCTTTTTTTTCTCACACTCAGTTTAGAGCAGTCTTATCCAGAAACTGACGTGTTGTCGTTTCGTAAGGCCTAATTTTTATGTCGGTGCGTTGATTATCTTTAATGCATCTTATTGTTTTCCTTCACATGTGTGTTCACCTCTCTTCCCTCCCTTCCCTCTTCTCATTTATCTCCTTTTTACCGTTCTCTCTCGATTCTCCCTCCCTTCTTCTCTCTCTTCTTCATTTCCCCTTCTTTATCCTCTCACTACCGTCGTTTTGCTGGTGCAAGTCGCGCTGGTGTGTTTTTGCTGGTGCCAGGCGCGCACCACGCTCAGCGTCATGCGCATTATCCGCGTCGGCAGCAGCAAAGAAGGGCACGAGCATGTCGGCAGAACTTGGTGAGTTCAAACTGTGAAAGGGAGTGAGAGAATAGTCATGTGCGAAAATACTATGTGATAAAGAATACCGGAGAGGCACAGATTGAGAGGGAGAGTGTGCGCGTATGAGGAAGAGAGTGCGAGGAGAAGAGAGCATGAGGAGAGTTGAGAAGAATGTGAAGGAGAGTATGAGTGCAAAATTAGTAGATGAAATCGACATTCTAACCTCTGCTCCTTTCCTTACCGACTTTGTTTCAATGAGAGAGCAAGGAAGAGATAGAGTGATTCTTTTTGTTTCATATTAGATCCTTTCCCCCTTTTGCCTTTTGCATGATATACTTCGTTCTTCCGTGTATGTTACTTTCTCCTTATCTTCCTCTTAACATTCTGTTCAACGTTTTTCCCATGGGGACCATTTCGAGGTAGCTTGCTAGGCGAATTAGGGTATGAGGTCAATTCGTCCTAGTTTGGTCTGTTTTCGTTTATTTTGCTTCAATTTCTTGTGCCTATGTTATCCGCTTTTGTCTTCAATTTCCGTTCTTGTTTCTGGTTATTCCTGCATCTCGTCATTTCATCACACCTCATTTCCTTTTCTGTTTTTTTTTTTGTACCGACTATTTCTTTCGTTCCTCCTTTCTACATTCTAAACCCGTTTCTCAGGAGTCTTGCTGCTCAGGAAGGGGATTTGAATCTGGAAAATGTGTATCGGTCACTTTCAGGATTTATCTTGTCATATTGTCCATTTAATGTTGATTTGCATGTTATTTATTATCGCGTGTTTTGGCTGGGTTTGCTGTTGTTTGTGCTTTTGATTGTGTGAATGTGTTTGATTGTGAGTGCATTCATCTCATTGATCATTGCAATATTAATGCATGTCTGTCAATTTTAAAAAAGGGGTTCATTTCTATCATTTCTCATTGGTTCATTGGCGCACTCAGTGACTCGTGTGTTTGCCACTTCGAACTGGATTTGATAGTGTGAACCTCTTTTTTAGAGTTAACAGATTGCATTTTTTCATGTGTTGGTTTATTATTCAAAGACTTTGCTATTGACTTCCCCCCCATGCTAGGCAGGGGATGCGGTAGCCTAGTTTTTGGGTCGTTAACTATCACGCATTTGTATGACATCCCGTAAGTTGCATTTCAGCATTTCGCTTCATGGAAAAGCATTTTCATCCATGTATCAGTATTATGCATCTATATATCTTGCCGCATTACATTCATTTAAGCATGCGTGGTATGTACTTCATTACTCATATTCGTAACATTTTTTACATGCAATTATCACAACAACGGCAAGCAGTAAAACATAAAACGCAAACACTATAGCATATAGGCAAAAAACTACTATAATAAAAAAAAGGAAATTAATATATGCACAATGGGAAGGGTGTTACTGTAGCTTACGAATTTTATTTTCATGTTAAATAAAAAACATGAAAAGAAAATTTGTCAAAATCGATTGTAAAGGGTTGCTTCGCAACCCAAAAAAAGGGGAGCGCTGCGCGAGGCTGGTCAAAAGGTTTAGAAAACGTTTGAGAGTCGTCGCGTCGCGCAAGTATTTCTTGCTTGTTGCAAGGTTTGTTCGCTGCCTTGTAGTACACCTAACCACCACTATTTTGAACTTCCGACTTTGGACTACTACCGCTTTTCACAATCCTGCCCTAATTTCGGGGGTTTCAGTAAGACACCTAGATATGGGGGACTATGAATGACGTCAAATGCTGGATGCTTGAAATTTCAAATGGGCGAGTGTAGGACAATTTCCGCTCCTGTAAGTCTCTTTTCATGTGCGCATCCCTTTGTGTAGCTTCGAAGGATTCTGAACCAATATTAATAAAGAGACCAACGTTAAACGGAAGAGACCAAAGTGTCAACGGATAAGTTACAAATTAGCACAGACGAATCCTTTTTTGCTAGCTGCGAAGTGACAAAATCTTTGTCAGCAGCAAGAAACACTTAAGCGCCTTTGTTACAAGGCGACCATGGCCGACTCGAACGAGAAAAAGGTGTATGCTGTGTGGCTGCTGAAATTCGAGCATTTGTCAAAGAAGTGGTCAAGCGGGCGGTAATGCTTGTTGTCGCCTTCCCACATGGGACTTCAAATCAAGATCCGAAGCGGCTGCATGTGGTTGAGGATTCAAGCTGCAAAGAGAGATTTGCTGTGGCGCGCCACCGCGACCAAATTGCGGAATATCTTGACCATACGGGAGGCGAAGATGAGACAGTTGTCCTGCGGAAAGTCATTGGCACATTACATCACACTCCTTTACAAAAAGGTACAAATCTCACACTACATCCCAGATGTCACTTTACATAAAAACTGATATACAAGTTTACTTATTATTTATTCAGAGACTCGCACTCAGCAACAATTGCTGTGAGCAAGCTCAGCTGCAGTGCCCGTTGCCATCTACCTCTCATCGGGACCTCCTTCCCTTCCACTCTCTCTCGTCCCACATTCTCGTCTCCTCTCACACCCTCCTTCGCATTCTCCAACTCTCCCACCAGTCCACCCTGCCCATCCACAACCTCCCCTGCTCCCACCCCTCCTTCCATTCCATCCATTTCTCCACCACCCTCAGCCTCTCCCCTTGCGCCCACACTGTGTCTCAAAGCTTCTTCATCCTCCACAACCTCTCCCCTGGGATCAGGTGCCTTGGCTTTAATCCCCCCACCACCATCACCACAACCACCCACAAGCTGGCAAAACTCCTGATGCAATTTCCTCAGCTGCAACAGAGCACCTGAACCAGGGCTGGTACCTGACAAAACACCTGGTGAGACACCTGATGAGCGTCCAGGCAAGCTACATAGCTTCGAGTTTCCATAAACCACCTGCTGCCACCACCAAGGTGCCTGTACACCCTCGTTATAGGCACTCAGCCCTGCACACACCTCCATCTCCTTTATAAGGTGCTTCTGTACAGCGCTTAGCAACTCACTGTCTGCAATTCCCATCCAATCTACACCACACGCTTCCCCTGTGCCACCTGCTTTCTGCTTCTTCAGCAGCTTCTGCTGGTGGTGCTTCTGGTTCTGCTGCTTCTGCCCATGCTTCTTCTGCTGCTTCTGCCCCTCCCAGCTTGCACCTTTGCCACAACTCCGTTCCCAACACCCATCATTACCATCACCATCACCATCACCATCACCCTCACCATCAGAACTGAAGTCCTCCTTGCTGCTCTCATCATCACCACCATCAGCTGAACACTCCGACCTCCTCTTAACTTCCCTGACTCCTCTCCACCACTCTGTACCCTCCGGATCATGCGAACCTTTGTCCGGACCACTTTTCTCCCCATCCCACTTCCTCCTCTTCCTCTCCCCTCCATTCGTTTCCTTCAACCCACATCCCGCTCTCTCCTGCTCCCTCAACCTAGCAGCAGCAGCACCAGACACAGGCTCGGGTTGCGGCTCAGGCTCCAGCTCAGGCTCGGGCCGAGCCTGGTGACCCGAACCAGCACCACTGGTTTGCAGGAAGAGCAGTTGTGAGAGGGACCGTTTTCGACCGGGGAGAGAGGCAGCTGATTTAGGAAGACCATTTCCTACACAGGAAGGGATAGATGAAGAGGTAGGATAAGACGAGGGTGGATTAGCAGCAGCTTCTGCAGTTGCGGCTGTAGCGATTGGTGCTGCTACAGCGGTTGTAGCAGTCGCTGCATTCACAATAGCAGCAGTTGCAGCTTCGCCTAATGGCGGTTCTGCTGCTGCTAAAGCTGTTTCTGTTGTGGTTGCTGCTGCTACTGCCGGGGTTTCCATCGGGCCTGCCTCTGTCCCTTCACTCCACTGGTGAACTCGAATCCTCCTCTTCATCCACCTCAGCCCGCCCCCAGTCCCTCGCCCTTCCCCTGCTCTCCCTCCTCCTCCTCCTCCTGCTCCTTCTCCCTCCCGTGCTCCTCCTCCTGCTGCTGCTCCTTCCCCTGCTGTTCTTGCCGTCCTTTCTGCTGCCACTGCCGCCGCCGCTGCTTCTGGCACCCCAGCTTGTCGGTACACAACTCTCACACCTGACTCTCCCTCCTCAATCACAACTCGCGGAATGGCCGACCCATCCACTCGTGCCGCAGCCTTCCCCCCCAGCTTCCCCTGCTGGTGCCTCCACAACTGCTGCTCCCCTCCAGCCTCCATCCTCCCCTGCAGATCTATACAATGCTGCCGACGCTCGTCTCCCGGCTCTGAACCATGCTGCACTGGCTCTACTCGTTCCTCTCTCAGACAAACGGTTGCTGGAATAACCTTAGCATTCCTTCCCTCCCCTGCTCTTCCCCACTGCCCCAGCTCCTGCCCCTGCCCCTGCCCTTGCCCCTGCCCTTGCCGCGGCTCTCTCCAGAAGGCAGAGTGGGTAACGATAGCAGCATACTGCCCCTTGTTCTTCCCATCTAGCTGCCTACGGTACCCAAAGAGGGCGGCAAGGAGCATGAGCGCCTGCTTCTTGATGGTGAGCAGCTGAGAGGAGGAGAGGCCGTGCGACAGGAAGATCTCCCTATAGGCCTGGGAGGGGGGGGAGGGGGGGATGGGCGGAGTGGTGGGGAGAGGGGAGCGGGAGACGGGGAGACGGGGCAGGAGGGGGAGGAGAGCGAATTGTGGGGAGTGCTCTTCTCTCCTCCAGCAGCGTACTGCCCCTTGTTCTTCCCGTCCAGCTGCCTTCGATACCCAAAGAGGGCAGCAAGGAGCATCAGCGATTGCTTCTTGATTGCTAGGAGCTGCGAGGAGGAGAGGCCGTGCGACAGGAAGATTTCACGATAGGCCTGCAGGAGGACGGGAGGGGAGAGGGAGAGGGAGAACGAGGAGTTTGGATGGTTGTAATCGCAAAGAGGGCAGCAAGGAGCATCAGCGCTTGCTTCTTGATTGCTAGGAGCTGCGAGGAGGAGCAGCCGTGCGACAGGAAGATCTCCCGATAGGCCTGCAGGGGGGAGAGAGGGGGAGGGGGAAGGGGAGAGGGGTGTGGATGGTTGGGTATTCCAAAGAGAGCAGCAGAGAGCATCAGCGCTTACTTCTTGACTGTCAGGAGCTGCGAGGAGGATAGGCCGTGTGACAGGAAGATTTCACGATACGCCTGCAAGGGAGGTAGGGGGGGAGGGGCAGAGGAGGGGGAGAGGGGCGAGCGAGAGATGAGGGAATGGGGAGGAAGGCGAGGAAAAGTGACTGGAAGTGGGTATCACCCCTTCCAGCGTATGTTTTTTGAGAATTCTCAAAAAAGTGACTGGAAGTGGGTATCACCCCTTCCAGCATATGTTTTTTGAGAATTCTAAAAAAAGTGACTGGAAGTGGGTATCACCCCTTCCAGCGTACGTTTTTTGAGAATTCTCAAAAAAGTGACTGGAAGTGGGTATCACCCCTTCCCTTGGCGCGGTTCTGAGCGCCCTCCAGCTGACAGCACATGGCCTAACGGAACCCCACCCAACCACTCTACACTCCTAACAACCTGCGGGCTCTTCACTCACCTTAAGCAGGGGCGAGCCTATTCTCTGCAGGTGCCTAGGGTATCAGAAGAATTGCGGCACCTTGGCACGGCTCTGCGCGCCCCCCAGCGCCCACCGTGCACAACACAGCACAGAACCCCACCCATTCCCAGCAACTACACTCACTTTGAGCAGCGGCGAGCCTATGCGCTGGAGGTGCCGAAGATATCGGAAGAATTGCGGCACCTTGGCACGGCCCTGTGCGTCCCCCAGCGCCCACTCCTCTGGGTCCCTCACAAACGCCAGGAACAGACTTGCCACTTCTCCTGTCTCCTCCTCCTCCCCTGCTGCTACTGGTAGTGCTGCTGCTGCTGCTGCTGTTGCTGGTTTTGGTGGTGGTGCTGCTGCGGGTGTTCCCGCATTTCCTCTGTCCTCTACCTCGTCTCCCCTGTTTGCTCCCTCATTCTCTCTGTTCTCTCCCTCGTGTCCTCTGCACTCTGTGATGCAATCTACATCACCCTGCCCCTGTCCCTCCCTAGTCTCCTCCCAGAGGCAACCCAGCCTCCCTTCCTCCTCCTCCAAAGCCCCATCAGCGAAAATGAGCTCTTGAAATGACACTGGCTTCGGTGTAACCAGCTGTTGCTGTGGCGGAATTGCTAATGCGGCTGCTGGTGGTGGTGGTGCTGCTGCTGGTGTTGCTGCTGGTGCTGCAGGTGGTGATGCTGCTGCTTCTGGTGCTGCTGCTGGTTGTGTTGACGCTCCAGTTAAAGCTACTGCTGTGACTGCTGATTCTTTGGTCACACCTGCCCCAGTCACACCCGCCACTGTCACACCTGCCCCAGTCACACCCGCCACTGTCACACCTGCCCCAGTCACACCCGCCACCGTCACACCTGCTCTGCATCTACCCTCTGTTGCATGAGTGACCCTTGGATCTAACTTCCTCTGTGATTCATCTGGCCCTCCTCCCCCCCCTTCTCCCGCTCCCCCTCCCTCCCCTCCTTCCCCTCCGTCCCCTCCGTCCCCTCCCTCCCGTCCGTCCCCTCCGTCCCCTCCCTCCCGTCCGTCCCCTCCTTCCCCTTCCCCCCTTCCTTCCCCACCTTTCCCCACCTCCCCTCCCTCCCCACTCTCGCCAACCATTGGTGCTCTCCTAACCACACCAGTCAGACCACTTGCGTGTGAGCCCCCTGCCAACCCCACAGCACCGCTTGCAACAGTCTCAGAACCACTAGGTAAATCCAGTGCACCTCCTGCCGAAGCGTCTGGAGCTGCAAAGTTTGGTGCTAAACCCTCTGGTGCTACAGCTTGTGGTGCTACAGCTTGTGGCGCTACAGCTTGTGGTGCTACAGCTTGTGGCGCTACAGCTTGTGGTGCTACAGCTTGTGGTGCTACAGCTTGTGGTGCTACAGCTTGTGGTGCTACAGCTTGTGGCGCTACAGCTTGTGGCGCTACAGCTTGTGGCACTACAGCTTGTGGCGCTACAGCTTGTGGTGCTACAGCTTGTGGTGCTACAGCTTGTGGTGCTACAGCTTGTGGCGCTACAGCTTGTGGCGCTACAGCTTGTGGTGCTACAGCTTGTGGCGCTACAGCTTGTGGTACAGCTTGTGGCGCTACAGCTTGTGGTGCTACAGCTTGTGGTGCTACAGCTTGTGGTGCTACAGCTTGTGGTGCTACAGCTTGTGGTGCTACAGCTTGTGGTGCTACAGCTTGTGGTGCTACAGCCTCTGGATTTAACACCTCTCCTGCTAAACCCTCTGGCGCTACAGCTTGTGGTGCTACAGCCTTAGGAGTCATAGCTTTTGGTGCTGTATCCTGTGGTGCTACAGCCTCTGGCGTTACAGCTTGTGGTGCTACAGCTTGTGGTGCTACAGCCTCTGGCGTTACAGCTTGTGGTGCTACAGCTTGTGGTGCTACAGCTTGTGGTGCTACAGCTTGTGGTGCTACAGCTTGTGGTGCTACAGTTTCTGGAGTTGATATCTCTCCTGCTAAACACCCTGATGCTACAGCTTGTGGTGCTACAGCCTCTGGAGTTAGAACCTTGCCTGCGAAACCCTCTGAAGCTACAGCTTGTGGTGCTGACTCGACTGTCGATTCGGCCGGAGCACAGGCCGTCCGGGTGGCCTCCTCATTCCCTTTCCCTTTCTTCCCCTTCTCCTTCCCTTCTTCCTCCCCTTTTTCATTCCCCTTCTCCCCATTCTCCCCCTTCCCCCCCCCCTCCCCGTTCTTGTCCCCTTTCTCCCGTTCCTCCACCTGTTCACCCCCCTCCGCCTCCCCATTCCACCCCATTCCCCGCCACTTCTCCTCCCCCATCTGCCCATCCCCATCACCATTCCTCCTCTGCTCCTCCCCCCTCTGCCAGTGCACCAGACCAGCAATCGGCAGGCAACGAGAACAGCTCAACCCATCACCTACTTCCATACTCACTTCTAAACACACGAGAGAATGAAGCACGGACCATCCTCCACCGCCCCTCCCCTCTACAAGCCTTTCTCCTCCCGTATCCCCCGCTGCCTCTCCTCCCGCAAATCCTTCTGTGTTTCTCCTGCACTCTTCTCCCCATCCATCAACCCACTCCCATCGCCGGCCTTTGCCCCTGCTGCTGCCCCCACTAAGCCCTGCTACAGCCGCTGCTGCTCCTGCAGCCACTGCTGCTACAGCTGCTGCTACAGGTGTATTCTCAGCCGACTCAAAACCACCACTTGCTGCTACACGTGCTGCTGCTACAGGTGCTGCTGCTACATGCGGTCTCCCTGCAAAATCGAACTCACCACTTGCTGCTGCTGCTGCTGATGCTGTTGCTACTGAAACAGATGCTACAGATGCTTTATCGGTCAACTCAATAGCACCACGTTCTCCTGGTACTCCTGCTACTCCTGCTACTCCTGCTACAGCTGCTGCAAGTGGCACTGTATTTGTGACTACCGATGCTGTCGCTGCAGCCGTTGCAATCTCAAGTCCAGTCTCTTTCAAAGCCACAGCCGTTGCTGCTCCTACAGCTATTGCTGCTGCTACAGCTGCCCCATTAGCTGGAGCTCCCAATGTCACAGTTGCTGCATTACCTGCTTCACTGATACTCGGTGCTACCTGTCCTGCTCTTCCAATCTCTCTCGATCTCTCAGCAACCCTCACGACCCCTTCACCCCTCAAGACGTCCTGACCCTGCCCCTCACTCTCCCTCACTTCAGCTCCCCCGAACACCTCCTCTCCTCCTCCCTCCTCTCCTTCCTCCTCCTCCCCTCCCTCCTCCCCTTCCTCGTCGTCCTCCTCCTCTCCCTCATCGCCTGCTCCCCTCCCCATTCCATTTCTCACCCATCCAGACCTCCAATCCTCTGTATAAGCCTCCCCACTACCAGCAGCTGAGCAGCCCTCGCCTGCACCTTCCCCATTACCAACACCGCCAACACCCCTCCTCCCCCCACACCCCCTCTTCCCCACACCTCCCCCCAAGCCCATCTCGTCCAATCGCGTTGCATGAATCTGCCAGGCTGGCATATCGGATATGATCTTTAAAAGCCGGTGTTTCTTCCATGCCCGCATGTTGCCTGGGGTGGATCAAGGGGGGGGGGGGATGTGTCGCAGTAGAGGAGGAACACAGAGAATCCCTTTTAAGTCTGCCGGGCTAGCATCTGCTTCGCTGGCATATCAATAACCATCTGCCGGGCTAGCATCTGCTTCGCTGGCATATCAATAACCATCTGCCGGCCGGGCTAGCATCTGCTTCGCTGGCATATCAATAACCATCTGCCGGGCGGGCTAGCATCTGCTTCGCTGGCATATCAATAACCATCTGCCGGGCGGGCTAGCATATCCGATACGATTTTGACCACTTGGCGATTCTTTCATGCCCTCATAGCGTGCGTGCACTTGTTAGTCATGATAAATAAAACAGGCCATACCACGTTACCATTCCCATGAGCTACCTGTGACTCCCATGAGGTATGCAAACAGCTCCAGTGCTGTGCTGTGCGCTTCTCACTTGAAACCATTCAAGGCTTGAGATGTTACCATGTTACCATACCCTTGCGCTACCTGTGACTCCCATGAGGTATGCAAACAGCTCCAATGCTGTCCGCTTTTCCCGCCGCAGCTCGTTCATGCCGATGCTGTGAGCAAAGAACGCCTGCTGGTACGGCTGGGAAATGGAGAATATGCAACGGGAGGGGAGTGCAAAGTGCAGGGTTGGGAAAGAACGGGAGGGTTGAATGCACACACGAGCCACGCTTTTCCCGCCGCAGCTCGTTCATGCCGATGCTGTAAGCAAAGAACGCCTGCTGGTACGGCTGGGATAAGGGGAATATATGAAGGGAAGGGAGGGCAAAGTGCAGGGTGGAAGGGAGGGTTGAGAGTAGTACAAGCCACTCTTCTCCCGCCGCAGCTCGTTCATGCCGATGCTGTGAGCAAAGAACGCCTGCTGGTACGGCTGGGAGAAGGAGTATATGCAACGGGAGGGGGGCGCAAGGTGAGGGTTTCAGGAAGAAGGCTGTATTGGTAGGGTAGGGCTGGGGGGAGGAGAGACGAATGGGAGCGGAGAATCGTTTAAGAAGGGTGAGTGGAGTATGAGAAGGGAGAGTATGAGAAGGGAGAGTATGAGAAGGGAGAGTATGAGAAGGGAGAGTATGAGAAGGGAGAGTATGAGAAGGGAGAGTATGAGAAGGGAGAGTATGAGAAGGGAGAGTATGAGAAGGGAGAGTATGAGAAGAGAGAGTATGAGAAGGGAGAGTATGAGAAGGGAGCACAGAAAGCCAAACGCACACATACTCACCTCCAGCATTGTTGGATTGTTTTCCGCCATCTCCCTTATAAACTTCCCCAGTCTTGTTACAACCACGCCCCCTTTCAGCGCGCACGCCCAGTGCTTCGGATCCTCCAGAAACTGCCGAAGCACGCCGCCCAGCTCGTCGTCCCCCGCCTGCCGGACGCGGACGAGGAACGCCGACCGGTCCTGGCGGGAGGTCGGCAGCAGACGAGCGCATTTGATTGGCCGTATCCTTCCTGGAGCAGACCTTTTCCTGGAGCAATTGCCATTATCGGCATCATTGCTATTATTGGCAAGATCAGCACTATTGCTAATAATTGCAGGGGCAGTGCTATTATTAGCATGATTGCTGCTGACGTTAGTGGTAGGACTATGGGGAGGGGGAGTGGAAGCAGGAGTAGCAGCAGAAGTAGCGCCAGGAGGAGCAAGAGGAGGAGGAGATGACGCATGTGTGTGTCCCCTGCCTGCTACAATCACAGCATCCCGCCCTTCTGCTGCTTCCACTGCTGCTGCTCCTCCTCCTGCGCCTCCTGGTCCTCCTGGTCCTCCTGCTCCTGCGCCTCCAGCCGCCCCAGCCCCCACACCTGCCCCTGCTACTGCTCCTGCTCCTGCCCCTGCCTCTGAACCCATCTCAACCGCTCCTCCCTCCCCTGCACTCCCTCGTTCTCCGCTTCCACCCCAAGTGTCCGTCAATGCCATTGCCTGCACGACCTCCCCGTTCTTCTTCAAGACTTGAGGCAACATTGCCCTCCTGAGCCCTGAGCTATTGGTTGCATTCCCAGTCCCCCCTTTCTCATACTCCTTCCACGCATCTGTGGATGCTATAGCCTGCACGAGGTCTTTCTTGTTGAGCTCGTCCAGGCGACCAGAGAAGCCCAGCAGCAGTGCGAGCAGCATCAGCACCCACTTCTTGCACGCTCGCAGGTCGTGTAGGGTAAGCGAATGAGCAAAGAAGAGAGCCTGATAATGCTGGGAGTTCAGGATACGGGTGGTTGGAGGGAGGGGGAAACGGGTCGAACAGGGGGGATGAGAAGGGGAAAAAGAGCGCGACCAGCAGCATGAGAAGACATGCTATAGCCTGTACGAGGTCCTTTGACTTTTGAGTCGACTCAAAAGAGCGCGACCAGCAGCATGAGAAGAGATGCTATAGCCTGTACGAGGTGACTTTTGAGGCGCCTCAAAAGTCGAGCAGCAGCATGAGAAGACATGCTATAGCCTGTACGAGGTCCTTTTTGTTTAGCTCGTCCAGGCGACCAGAGAAGCCCAGCAGCAGCGCGAGCAGCATCAGCACCCACTTCTTGCACGCTCGCAGGTCGTGTAGGGTGAGGCGATGAGCGAAGAAGAGGCTTTGATAGTGCTGTGGGTTAGGAGGGAAGGGGACAGGGGAAGGGAGGGGAAGGAAAGAAGCCCAGCAGCAGCGCGAGCAGCATCAGCACCCACTTCTTGCACGCTCGCAGGTCGTGCAGGGTGGGGCGATGGGCAAAGAAGAGGCTCTGATAGTGCTGTGGGGAATGGGGAATGAAGGGGTGGAGTGAGGGAAGTAGGAGGGGCGGAAAGGGGCGATAAAAGGGGGGAAAGGGAGCGCGAGCAGCGGCATGAGCAGAGAGGCTATAGCTTGCAGGGAGGTCTTTCTCGTTTAGCTCGTCCAGGCGGCCAGAGAAGCCCAGCAGCAGCGCGAGCAGCATGAGCACCCACTTCTTGCACGCTCACAGGTCGTGTAGGGTGAGACAGTGTGCAAAGAACAGGCTTTGATAGTGCTGTAGTTTCAGGGAAAAAGTGGACGGGGGGGAGGGAAAGGAGCAGTGCGAGCAGCATCAGCACCCACTTCTTGCACGCTCGCAGGTCGTGTAGGGTGAGACAGTGTGCAAAGAACAGGCTTTGATAGTGCTGTAGTTTCAGGGAAAAAGTGGACGGGGGGGAGGGAAAGGAGCAGTGCGAGCAGCATCAGCACCCACTTCTTGCACGCTCGCAGGTCGTGTAGGGTGAGACAGTGTGCAAAGAACAGGCTTTGATAGTGCTGTAGTTTCAGGGAAAAAGTGGACGGGGGGGAGGGAAAGGAGCAGTGCGAGCAGCATCAGCACCCACTTCTTGCATGCTCGCAGGTCGTGTAGTGTGAGGTGGTGAGCAAAGAAGAGGCTTTGATAGTGCTGTGGTTTCAGGGGGGAGGGGGGAGCGGGTTGAAGAGGAAAGAAGCAGCGCGAGCAGCATCAGCACCCACTTCTTGCACGCTCGCAGGCCGTGAAGTGTAAGAGCGTGAGCAAAGAAAAGAGCCTGGTAGTGCTGTGGTTTCGAAGCAAAGGGGGTTGGGGAGAGGGAGGGAGGGAGGGAGGGGGGCAGCATGAGCAGCCGCGTGGGCAGCATGGACACCCACTTCTTGCAGACTCGCAGATTGTGCAGGAGTGGAAAAAAAATCATTGAACTGAAACTCACCCCGACAGACTTCAAAACCCTTAACCCTAGCACCTGCTAAACCCTGACAAGTAAACCTTGCACGCAATGCACTCTCACCTGAAGCAGCAGCGGCTCGCACACATGCGCCTTGCGCAGAAATGCAAAGATAGCATTGAACTGAAACTCCCCCCGATGATCCACCAGATTCCACTCCCTCGGGCTCTCCAAAAACCGCTCCAGCATCCCGCCGTACCGCCGAACCTCCTCCTCCCCCACCCGAACCTGCGCCGCAGCCGCGGCGGCCAGCTCCGGTGGCAGGCCCGGGACAGGCCCGGTGACAGCCGCGGCAACGAGGCGCTTCTCCATAGCATGAGGTCTGTTCCAAGGCTCGGAGGTTGCTATGATGGTGAGGAGCTTGGGTTTGTTTTTGGCTCCGGTTCGCACGGGGCTGACGAGGGTGGCGAAGAGTTGTACGACTGATAGCATTTCGAGCTTGATGTCCTCGAGAGTTAGTCCGTGCGAGAGAAACATGTCCTGCAGATGCTGCGAGTGAGAGTGGTGGAAAGTACCGGAGAGAAGTGGAAAGGGGTGGAGAGGGGTGGAGAGGGGCGGAGAACAAGGGTGAGCGTGGATGGAAGGGAGAGGCTGACGAGGTTGGCGAAGAGCTGTACAACTGAGAGCATCTCGAGCTTGATGTCTTCCAGGGTGAGCCCGTGTGAGAGAAACATGTCCTGCAGATGCTGTGAGTGTGGTGCAGAGCGGCGAAATGGGGTGGGGAAGGGTGGAGGGCAGAAAGGGGGGTGGAAAGGGGTGGGGAGGGGTGATGAACAAGGGTGAGCGCGGATGGAAGGGAGAGCGTGCAGGGGCTGACTAGGGTGGCGAATAGGTGTACCACTGAGAGCACCTCGAGCTTTATGTCCTCGAGAGTTAGTCCATGAGCAAGAAACATGTCCTGTAGTTGCCGTGAGAGTGGTGGAGAGCGGTGGAAAGGGGTGCAGAGGGGCGGAGATGGGCCGAGAACAAGGGTGAGCGAGGTATGGAGGGGAGGGAGAGGACACGGGGCTGACGGGGCTGACAAGGGCTGACGGGGCTGCAGATGCTGGTGAAAGGAGTGCAGAGCGGTGGAACGGGGGTGGGAAGGGGTGGAGAGTGGTGGAGAGGAGGGGTCGAGAGGGGCAGAGAGGGGCGGAGACGAAGGTTGGGCGTGGTGGACGGGAGGGCGAGCACAGGGCTAATGAGGGTGGCACAGAGTTGCACAACTGAACTGACAGCATCTCAGCATCTCAGCTTTATGTCCTCAACTGACTGACAGTAAGACCGACAGTAAGACCATGAGAGGGAAACATGTCCTGCAGGGTGTTTTTGAGAATTCTCAAAAACATCCTGCATCGAGTTGCACAACTGACAGCATCTCAGCTCAGCTCTATGTCCTCGACCGACAGTAAGACCACTAGAGAGAAACATGTCCTGCTTGGTTTTGGTTTTCTCTCCTTACCTCTAGTTTCGGGTCGCCTTCTCGTCGCAGACCCCTCAGGTAAATTCTCAGGTGGGCAATGGACGCGCCTCCCTTCTCCACCTGGCCCCACCTGGCTCTGTTGCTCAGGAAATCCTTCATGTCAATTTCCAGCTCCTCAGGTGTCATCTTGTTCCCAGGAACAGTTACTGCTGCAGTCGAAACTGTTCTGGCAGCAGTTGAAGCTGTCCCGTGAGCAGTTGAAACGGGCCATGCTCTAGTTGAAACCGTTCCAGTTGCACTTGAAACTGTTGCAGACACTGTAGCTGCAGCGAATGTGACTTGTGGTGCTGCTATAGCTATTGCAGCACCTCTAGCTGCTGCAGCTGCTGGGAACCTTCCTGGTACAGCTCTCCCTGCTGCTGATCCTCCTCTTTCTACTGCTGCTGTCCCAACTCCTGCTGCCACCGCAGCTGTTTCTGCTTGCGCAATTGCCATAGAGCCTGCTGCTGCAGCTCTCACTGGTAGTACTATCCCTCTCCTTTCCATCCCTGCACTTTCCCCCCCAGGACTCTCAGCACTGGTCAAAACTGCCAGGGGTACAGCTAATTCTGGCACTGCTGCTGCTGCTTCTCCTACTGCTGCTTGTGCCACAACCGCTGCTGCTGTGTCACCTGCTGCCCCTGCTGCCCCTGCCGCCCATGCCGCCCATGCCGGCCCTGCTGTTCCTGCCACTGCTGACGACGCTCCAGCTTCAACTTGTGTTGGCTGCAGTGCATATGGTGCTCCTGGTCTTGCCCTTGAAACAGGTTCGATAGCTGCACCAACTGCTCGCTCAACTACCACCGCTGCTGCTGTTCCTACTCTCCCTGCTCCTGCCCCTGGTGATGGTAGTGTTGCTGCTACAGCAGGTAATGTACTTACTGCACGCTCTGCTACAGTTGCTGCTGCTGCTGCTGCTGCTGTGTCTGGTTTTACTCTAGTTGTCGCAACAACAGGTGCTACATTTGCACTTACCGCACGTTCTGCTACAGCCCCTTCTGCCTCGGCCCCTGCTGCCCATACTGCAGCTGGCGTTGCCGCAACAGCAGGCCCCATACTCGCACAGACTGCACGCTTTGCTAAAGCCCCTGCTGCTGCAACAGCTACAGCCGCTGCCCCTGGTGCTGCCGGCGTTGCTGCCACAACAGGTAGATTACTTGCATATACAGCACGCTCTGCTCCTGTTGCTGCTGTTGCTGTGTGTGCTGCCGCTGACGATTCACCTGCTTCGGATGCTGCTGGTTTCAGTGCGTGTGGTGCTGCCAGCGTTGCTGCCACAACAGGTAGATTACTTGCATTTACAGCACGCTCTGCTATTGTTGCTGCTGCTGTCTCTGCACCTGTTGACAATGCACCTGCTTCTAATGATGCTGGTTCCAGTGCGTATGGTGCTGCTGGTGTTACCCCTAGTGACTTTTGAGTCGACTCAAAAGTCTCTTCCAGTGCTTGTGGTGCTGCTGCTGTTACCCCTAGAACGGGTCCTGCACTTGCAACTGCTGCACGCTTCGCTACAGTCCCTCCTGCTGCTGCACCTGCTATTCCTGCTGGTGGTGCCAATGCTCTCACTGCTACTGGTGCAGCCTGCAACGCGTATGGTGCTGCTAGTGTTACCCCTAGAACGGGTCCTGCACTTGCAACTACTGCACGCTCTGCTACACTCAATGCTGCCGCTGCTGCTGGCGCCACTGCAGTTGATTCCACAGCTACTGCTCTTGAAAATATAGCTCCTGCTGCTGCTGGTGGTTCTGGTGCTGTTGGCGCTGCTTCTTCTGCTCCTGCTGTTCCTGCTTCTCTCACTGCTGCTGCTGCTTCTGTTGGCAAAAACACCCCATCGACCACAGCTACAGTGGCCTCTGCTTCTGCTCCTATGCAGCCGCCACGCACAGCCTCCCCTGCACTGCCTGCTTCCATTCCCACAGGTTCCCTGGCAGCAAAAGCAGGAACAGCAGGAAGAGTAGTAGCAGTAGGGGTAGAAACAGGAACAGCAGGAACAATGGGGGTAGCAGCAGCCTCCCTTGCACCGCCTGTTTCCACTGCCACGGCTCCTATGGCAGCAGGAACAGCAGCATCATCAGGGGTAGCTACAGCAGCAGCAGCGGCAACTGAGGTAGCGGAAACAGCAGCCGCGGCAGGGATGGCAACCACAGCAGCAGCAGCAGCAGCAGCAGCAGCAGCAGCAGTTGGAGGAGGAACGGCAGTAACTGCAGGTGCAGCAGTGGTAATCGTCTCCTTTTGTGGTTCCAATCGTTCATCACCTCTATCAGTAGCTGCTTGCACCTCCTCTAGAACCCCGCCTGTTACTGGCACACCTGTTAATGGGACATCCCCTGCAGGCATGCACGCTGCTTGCAGGTCTGTTAAATGCCCATCTATTACCGGCACATCAAGTTCTCCTGCTCCTGCTTCTCGAGCTACTGCTGCTGCTGCTTCTGCTGCGGCTTCAGACGCTGCCTGCCCTGCTGCTTCTTGCACGTCCGCTACAGGCCCGTCTATTACAGGCACATCTGGCCCTCCCGCTACTGCTTCTGGAGGTATTACAACTCCTGCTGCTGCTGGTGCTGGTGCTGCTTCCTCCCCTACCTTCTCTACAGCAGGTGATATTTGTGTTGCTGCTGCTTCTGCAGCTGCTGCTACTGCTGGTGCTGGTGCTGGTGCTGATGCTGCCAATGCTGCTGCTGCTGCTTCAGGTGTTACCTTCCCTGCTGTAGCCGCTACCCGTGTTATCTCCCCTTCGCCAATGCCCCTTTCGTCAAGCACTGATAGGGGCCTCCTTGCAGGTAACTCTGCACCATACTCTTTATTATACGCCTCGTTTACTGCTACGTGTCTCGCTGCTATCCCTTCAGCAAAGCCGCTATTGTCTGATGATATACGCCCTCTTTTACATAACTCTGCACCATACTGTGGCGCGGATAGATCCTCACGCAGGGCTTGCCAGTGGGCTCGTGCCACGTGGCCATCTGGTGCACGGACATCCGCCACGTCAGCAGCCAGCTGTCCGACAAATATCTCCTCATCGTCCAGCTCAGCGTCCCCCATCACTAGCTCCAATTCGATATCCGGCCCCTCTTCCCCCTCTATTCCCCCTCCGCTCTCCATTTCCCCTCCCCTCTCCATTTCCCCTCCCCTCTCCATTGCCCCTCCCGCCCCCATTTCCTCTCCTCCTTCCTTTCCCTCTTGTCCATCCATTCTCTTTCCCCTGTCCGCCGCCTCTTCTTCCTCACTCCTCCCCTCCCCCTGCCCCTCCCCTTCGACCTGTCTAAGCTCGACCTCCTTTCCTTGCCCAGCCGTCTGCTCATTCCGCCCCTGCCCCTCTTCCCCCCCCTGCTCAACTAGTGCTTGCTCCGCTACAAGCTTAGACACGTGATCCGCTATAAGCTCACTATCGTACACGTCCTGCTCGCGCCCTTGCAGGTGCTTATGTGAATATTCATATCCAAGCACCTGAGCTTGCACCTGCGCTTGCGCCTGCGAAATTCGCTCTTCCAAATTGTGCACCTGAACTTGCACCTGCGTCTGCTCCTGCGCCTGAGCTAGCACCTGCGCCTGAGCCAGCTCCTGCACCTGGGATTGGGCCTGCTCCTGAGCTGGAGCTGCACGCTCTATCAGATCATTTCGTCTCTCTTCTTGCCCTTCCAGCCGCTTCAGCTCGTCCGTCTCCTCAACTGTCCGCATGCTCTGACTTATAACGAGTCCCTGATCCGTAGCTTGACTTTCATCCTCGATATAGTCATACTCCACTGCGTCAACCACCACGTCAGCTTCTGTCCCCCCATCTGCCAGCACATCAGGATCCCTCGCTTGTCTCAACGCCACGTCAGCATCCCCCCGACACTCCGGCCCAGATTCTAGCATCAGGTGCGGCGCTAACGGCGGCGGCAGCTGCGGCGCCATTTGCGAGGGTAAACGCGGCGGCCATGGATCTAGCCCCATGGTATCCCCAACTGAAGTGTGGTGATGGTGGTGGTGGTGGTGATGATGCTGATGGTGATGATGGTGATAATGATGATTCATGTTAATGTCCCCATCATGATACGGCGTAGGTACATGCTCCATAGACCCATGATGCGTCGTTGACCTATGCTGCTCCATGGATTCTTGCTGCTCCATCGTGCGGTGGTGATGAATTCCCATGACCGGATCCAACGGTCCCGGATGCATCACATGTGCAGGCGCCGGTGGAGCATGATGGTGGTAACCCGCATTGTAGGTGGTAACCAGCGATCGCGACGAAGGATGGTATGCGAAACCCATACTGGAACCTTCATGCGGAGGGGGGGGAGGCATGGGGCCTGAGGAACCAGCACCAGGATGTGCGTGAAACGGGATGTGCATATAAGGAGGGTGAGTGTATAGAAAGTGTGCGTGATGATGCATCCCCGTTATTGGCCTGGAATGCCGATCATTCGAGCCGTGCAAACCGTACTCCGAACTGAAACCGTACGGCGGTATTTGAGACGCCTCGAAAGGCGATAGCCCGTTTTGTGGGATTTTATATCTTGACGAATCCGCGATCTGCGCTTCCGCTCCCTCTGCCACGTCAGCGTCGTGACGTCGAACCGCTTCTTCCTCCTCCTCGTCCTCCTCATCCTCATCCACATTCACGACTAGGGAGTGATTCACGCCGTGATGCGCGGTGGAATGCGCTGCGGGATGCACGCCGTAATTCACGGCGTACCGATCGGCCTCAATCAACGGAACTGGATGGTGATACGACAGATGATGTGGAGGAGGAGGATACATCGGGACGGAGCCAGGGAATCCTGAGCGTCCGGCGTCGTCGAATTCGGCCGTGCCACCTGGCAGATCGTACGGCGACGAGAGCTCTGAGGGGTCCATAGCGACAAATCTCTGCTACAAAGGACCTGAAACGACAGGCATTGTCCATGTCAGCAACAGGACCGCTATAAACTTCTCCGAGAAACAATATACAGGACCGGGAAACGAGAACCGTAGCAGTTGACATGGCATTAGGGTTAGCATTGGTGGATTCCATAGCTGACGGATTTCCTCTCCCGGATATTGACCGACGATTTACTTCTAGTTCTAAAAAGAAGTGACGCTAACTCGACGGACACTCTGCCGGCACTACTGGGAAGAATTGACGTCGTCTAGACATTACCTGATTGAATAAGCTTCAGTTTGACGCTTTCACAGGCAAGTTCCCGCGTCGCCTGACGCACCGAGATTTCTTGGGGTGAAGACGAAATGGGTGGGGGCCTGAGAGGAAATGTGAGGTCAGACGCGAAACCCCGATTTCCTCCTACCTATGTCGACAATAGAAAGCTGAAAAGGGATAATGTACGCGAATGCTTGAAAGAGGGACCATGAATCTGCCATTAGGGTTCGGAGAGGAGGAGCGAGGGGACGAAGAGCGAAACCCCAAATGCGGATTATGGGAATGGGGGAGAATGAAAACCCTGAGTGAAGGGAGTGAAACCCCGAGGTGAGGTGGGAAGGGAGAAAAGGCGAACCACCAAAAGGAGTTTGATCATGGTCTGTGATACAGTAGATACTGTACACCGCATTCAAAAAGCTCGCTATAGTTAGGGCGCTTCACCTCTCAGTTCGAACAGGACGGTTGTTCGAACAGGCGAAATGTTACATTTTTCGCCACTCCTCGTATGGGTGTTCGTGACGTCGCTAGTCGGAAATTTCGCGAATTTGAACAGAGTTGTCACACGGGGCACGAAGCTCTCCATTCCGCACGTTCGAACAGAGTTGTTCGAACAAAGTTGGGTTTGGTGACAGGAATTCCGCATGGACGACTGATTTTATTGGTTAGCAGGCTTCGGGTCGCACTCGAATGTTTGCGACCATTGCAAATGTCGCCATGCAGGAGAAAGTTCATCAAAAAGGACATTGTTGTTGGGAAACAACAAGGTGAGCAGTAGTAGAAGAGCACGAAGAGACTGTTTGACTGGATGGGCGAAAAATGAGTCAAACTTGAATGGCAGACGACAGAATTATTTTTTTGCGACGTTTCGCGAAGTCGTCCAGCACTTGGCGACGTCGCATGTTCGAACAGGCTGTCACCTCTAGTCACGAGCTGTCACATTCACCAAGGTGTTCAAATTTGTGTTCGGATCTCGTCGGGAAACTGTTCGTACAGTGAATTCGTTACGTATGTTCGGATTTGGGCCTTCCAGCCCCGAGGTGATGCGCCCTTAGTTTGTCAACATAGCAAACGCGTTTCCTTGCGTGGGGATGCTTGTGCACGAAGAATGACGAATCGCTACTTCACATCCATGTTTCGCCTTGTTTCTTCGTCAAGCTTCGAATGAGGCAGGAACTCCATCTCGCGCACTCGCCCGCTCTTGCGTGACTTTCAGAACCCTCGACTAACATGTAACACACGCTGGTGAAATCGACGTGTAAACTATTGTTCATCGACGGCTTGGATAATGCGCTTGTTGTGGAGTGTGGGCCCAACACTTGAGCTTGTCGTGAAGTACGTGCGGTTGCATGCAAGTTGAAGCCAGTTCATAAGATTAGACGCGATGCGAGCTTCGCGCCCCGATTATGCCTCCCTATCGACCGGAAGTCCCGGCTCTCCTATTCGTCCATCAGTTCTTGAGCTCCTTTCTCGTCCGTCATATTTAGGAAACGTCCATACCAGAACTCCCTGCTTCGAAGAATGACGTTACTATTCTGCAAACCAGTGCATTTTAAGCACTTCTCCTATCGTAGCCAGCCCAATCAAGCGTCGCTATATTTCTCTACTGGCCACCTCATTCTTTCTCAACGTCATCCCTCAGTTCGTTCATCGCATCATGACACCCCCTTCATCTCAAACCTCACGATTCCGCACTGAATCAAGCGACGAAACTTGTGACTCATGATAAAAAAACACCGCAATTCGTAGCAGCCGTTGAGCCAGGCGCTGTCCCTTCAGCACCAGGGGACGTGACATCCCAAATCTACCAATTACCTCAGTTAGTGGGCCTCGTACAAAAACCGTCGTGAAAAATATTCAACCGCTTCACCAGGCGATATCGCAGGACCTAATAGCCTTCTTTCACTTTTATCATCAGTTATGCAACTGTGACGGTACTAGACTTGAAGCGAGCGTTGCCTTCACAGCCGTTTCCAGTCGAACATCTTCCCGAGTCCGAGCCCGACCTAAGTGAAATTCCTTTTTAAGCTCAAGCCTTAATGGCGCTGTCAGCATTCCGAAGAGGGATGCTTGGAATGTTTTCCCCCGGGGTGTTGCTGCTTCTATTGGTGTGCGCTATCCTGGATCTCGGTGCTCAAAGGAGCCATTTCTACGCGGCGGCGGCAACAAAACCTGATTTATCTTTTGCCAGTAAGACGACGACTCGCGAAGGTTCGCTACGGTCGAAACGGAGTAACCACTTCATCTTTCTTCGCCGACGCCTTGTGGCTGGTCTTATAGTGCCAGACAATGCTGCGGATGGGACAGTAGGTACGCCTGGTGATACTACTGAAGCCCGCGCTACAGTCAGCACGCCTAACCCCTCCTCCACAAGCAACTCGACCTCGTCTTTCGATGAACGCAGTCGCGAACGGGCGGGCGACTCAAAGGACGTCAGCGTGCGAAGGAGTTTGACTTTCGCGAGCGTGCGAACTCATGAGCTGGGCCGACTAGTTGGCGAACGCAGCGGAAAAACGATCTTCTTGAGGCGGGCTAGCGGCGGAGTGAATTCGGACGGCTCGCAATTAAAAGCGCCAAAATCTGCCGGGAACACGGTGGGCGGAAGCTTCGTGCGCAGAGTGCGCGAGTTCCTTACGGGGTTGCCTTCGAAGGGAAGCCAACAACAAAAAAAGAAGCCCGGGAGTGCGATCACTATTGCTACGACTCGAGCTACTAGTAGTTCTATCCAACCTAGGACGTCGTCGAATAAAGTACGTGCAGCGGAAACGCGGGCAGCGTGGGAAGACGACGACGACTACGAGCCGGCTACTTCTGGAGCGTAAAAGGCGCCTCAAGAGTCGTAGAAGCAGGGAAAATAGAATAATGGTGACGAGAGGAACCCTGAAATTGGTGGAGGCTGCTTTTTCGCGCAAGTTTTAATAGTGGACTCTAGCGGTCGATGTATAGTCGTAATTGTGGATTACAATAAGTTCCTGGATACCCCATGATGATTGGAGGAAGCCTTGCTAGTATTTTTAGATGGAACCACTGGTGCAACTTTTATTTCCAAACAGCTTTTGATAACAAGGCATGTGTCGCACAAAAGAGCAGCTACATGCAAGAGGGACGACACATCCCTTGAAGGAACCTAAGGAACCGTCTACCCTATTCAGCACCTAGACATACTAAGCAGAGGGTATCTATCCCCCCGTGGCCTAACCTAGAAGCTTCTCCAACTGTTGCTATCGATCAGTCGATGCACTGTTGTCGACGCACCACCCACCAACTGATTAGCCATCCTGTGTAAACACCCTGCCCAGTTGGCTGGGCAGAGCGGTAAAACAAAACGTTGCGCATAGAGCTTCCTCGAGTGTTTTTATTGGTCAGCTGTGGATCGGGCAGCAATGAGTCGTGTCAAAAACTCCCGTTGCTTGGTGTCACTATAATCACAAGGGAAGAAAAGGCAAGGGGATTATGAATAACCGGGTAAAACGGGGAAAAATGGGTAATTATGGGTGTACAGGGTTACTGAAGCATGTAATGGACAGAGAAAGTGCGCACAAATGAACTAAAAATCACAATCAAGTCAACGTTTTTTCTCTTACCTGAAGAGCACTTGTGCATGTTGGTACGTCTCATTGTACATAAACTCTACACCCTTCTCAGTGAGCATCCTGCAGTGGGCGAGAGGAGAGGGGGGAGACGAGCAGAGGCAGACAGGGAAGGACAGGGAAGATGAGAGGTGGTCAGGGGGGAGACA